CACACACACACACACACACACACACACACACACATACACACGCATGGGCGCACTCACACGCACGCACGCGCGCACGCACACACACGCACGCACACACACACACACACACACATATTACATTATATATTAATTATGTACATATTTAGGCTACGCCAGTATAAGGAACGGTCGCAATCTGCAATCTTCTCAAATATACCAACCTCCCATCAAGATCCAACCTTCTAATAAACTGACTAATAAACCTTCTGACTGATAAAATATAATTAATTAAATAAATAAATAAATAAATAAATAGATAGCTAATTAACTATATACATTCATATATATATATATATATATATATCGTTCGTTATAATTCATACCTGTCAGCCGGGCTGTTGTTGTACTTGGCCGCCAGGTTTCGCATGAATTCGCTGTAGTTGCGTCTGACGTACTCCGCCTCACGGCTCAGCGCGATGTCGCTATAGCTGTCATAGCCTAGCATCCCGGGGCGCGACGCCTTCCGCTGCGGGTCTCCCGTCGGAAACAGGCTCGTGTAGGCGAATGGGGGTACCCAGGGCGGCCGCGCCACGGCCGACGGGGCAGCGTGCTCGGCGGGTAAGTGGTAGCGCGGCGGCTCGCCGCTGTACTCCCTGTGGAAGATCGGCGTCGGCTTGCAGGGTAGCCGCTCGGCGCCAGCGTCCGTCGTCACTGGAGTCGTCGCCGGCGGCGACCGCTGCTCGACCTTCACGTCGCGTTCCGACTTGACGCTGGCCGTCTCGACGTCCGACATGTTCTGCGCCGACGACGCGTTCTCGCCGACGTCGATTTCGCTCTGCTCGCCGACGTCCGAGTCCGCATTCTTTGGTTGTTCGGGCGACGCGCATTTCGAAGCATCGTCGTCGTTGTCGTCGCCGCCGACCGTTTCCGTTATGTTCTTGATCGTCAGCCGCGACTCGACGGGTCGCGACGTTCCTTCTTCGATGGCCCGCAGGGCGGCGCTCTCGTCGCTATCGTCTTTCCTGAAGTACTTCTCGCCGTCCTTCGAGCCAGCTACGGAGAGCAGAAACAAAACCTCCATTACCGCGTGGTGGCGCGTCAGCAGCCGCAGCAGACGACGGCGACGACGTGGGACGCAGCGTCGTCGCTACGAGAACGCATCGCTGCCGAGCAGTGTCGCGAATCGTCGGCGTTGCCAACCGACGTTGTGATCTCGAATACGTTTAGAAAACTGATGCGTGCACGCAAAAACGCAGGTTCACTCAACGCAGGCACGCGCAGGCGTACACGCGCCAGTAAGTAGCTGTAGTGGTGAGCAGCGTCAAGACTGTAGCGATTCGCTGCTGGGCTGCCGATGCTATCCGTATATGATTGCAGGTGGTAATCATATCATTGCCCTGGTAATCACTGGTTGACGCGCGTCGACTTCTTTGGAGAGAGAGAGAGAGAGAGAGAGAGAGAGAGAGAACACACACACACACACACACACACACACACACACATGGAGTGTACTCTTTGATATCTCATACTATTAAACGTATATAACAAAATATTGATCATCACTGCAATGATATTTAATTGAAATAAACATGTTTATCGAGTTCAATCATACATCGTTCTCCATGTACGTACGAGTTTTACTTAATACAAGTACAATCGCCGCAATTTTTGGCAGAACTGCTCTACATCCGACAACACATAACGATGGAAACAACAACGCAACTATCTAAACTCTACTCTACTAACTAACAACTCTATCGTGCAAACGTTGCGTAACAGGCTGCCTTATAGCTATCTCTGAACATTTGAGATCTGAACTATACTCGTCCGCAGTGCTCGGCGTTCATCAACCCTACTGATTCCTGATCGAATTACGATACCCGACCCGGAGCAATGTGCGTGTGAACCTGTCGTGCACATGAACGGTTAACTAGTTCCTGACATTCGCTATACACGGCGTTCGTGTCAGCAGCTTTTGGTCTACGTGGCGAGGGGGCAACTATGGTCGATCTATATCTTTCGGCGTGGCCGCAACTACATGCTGCTGCTACCTATGGGCGCGTACACGCTGCTACGTCTCCGAACTGTAAAAAGCTATTGTAACTACGCGGCTCGCGGTAGTGTAAATTCGAGCGCAAACGAAGAAAATGTACACGGTATTCACAACTTGCTCTCTGTACAAATTATTAATTAAAAAATCAATTAATTAATTTATTAATTAATTTATTATTAATTTTAATTATCTTACAAATTGAAAAAAAGTAACTTCGATGAGGATTCAATCATAATTATCACACAATGATAACACCCTCCTGTCTATCACAGCTGTCCCTGGCTTTGGTTTCATACTGGCGAACTATTAAGTTTATAGAGATATTTACTACATCGGGTATAAAGGAAAATCTGAGATGAGCTTATAGGCAGTGATATTGGTATCCATGCTTGAAAGCTGGGAATAGGGAGGAATAGAGCTTCCCCTATCATACACCGTCGATCGCAACGTGTGAGAACGAAATTACAATTGCGACGCACCACGCGCGCTGGCGAGCGGTATTATTTTTCGTAAAACATCGATTGTTCCTGAGTTGGATTTAAGACTGCAGAATCACAGGGTGGAGGTGTAAGGTACTATATAATATAGGGACTGCATGCGTCTACTTGTGGGTGGTGAGAGCGCGCACATTGTAACGCGTATCGCGTGCGTGCTTCGTCGTCGAGTTGATGTCCGCCTCCCGCCAGAATGCAGTCACGCTGCAGCATGCACAGAAACCTTCTAATACAGAAGCAACCCAGTTTCTTTACCACGACGTTGCCACATTGGACACTGCAACCGATTTGGAAGGAAAGAAATGCAGCAGCGCTATCACAGCAGTTAAAACACATACTATCATTGTACTGTTATGTGCGGCCGCTGACTGTTCAAAAACTCGGCAAAGTAATGGCCCGACTTTCATATCTTTTCGATTTTCGAATGATTACATATTACTATTAAGTAAGAATGCATCATTATAGAAATAAAAACCCCGCGCACTATGTAATGCTGAAGCCGGCGGCGACCCTAGCGATCCTGGTGGTTCGTGGCTGTAACCGTATTTCCACGATGATAGCGAACCAGGATGGGAGGTCTCTCTGGTGATGGAAGGTATCTGTTATGAAAGGAGGTCTCTGAAACGCTGACTTTCGGAATTGGTTCAGCAGTGCGGCTGCGTGCATCGGCGTCATCTGGCGGCGATTAAGTAAGCTAGGTTCTACACGTCGGCTTTCCTGGAGTTGTGGCAGTGCAGGCAGTGAGAGCAGACGGCGCAATAGTTGCTGTTGATTTTGCTGACGCTGGCTCGCAGCTTCAGAGCCGGTCCCAGCTTCATGCCCATATTGTTCATCAGGTGGTCTTCAGTGAGCAACGCGAGCGCTGCTCCATCTATCGAATGATCTCGAAACATCTGAAAAGAGAATAGGAATTAGGTGACGTGGGAAGATTACTCTTAAACACACCACAGCTTTCCGAATGTCGTCTTTGTTTTTATAAACCATGCCAGACATTAAACAAGAAAACCGCTAGCAAGTAAAATGGGTTGCTTTGTAGAATTAGCAGTCAAAATGTGCAATATACGTGCTAACAGAATTATATACACCGTACTTACACTGCAGCCCGGGGAAGTTAATTAACAGAGTGTATATAATGAGCGCATAATATTTAAAAAAACGCACGACTGACGTTCTCGTTAAACGGCGCGCTTCCAAAAAGCAACGCGGTCCTTTTAAAGCAGAAATGAAACATTTACAAAATGATAATATTATTTATTATCTTCTTATCGACTTAACCCCGCTAACCTCTGAGTATTCCGAGCAGAGATCGATGGCGCTGACAAAATCACAGACGTCGGCAACCGACCACGTTGTCATTGACGGCCCGTCCTTGCCCTCCGCGCACGTGCTGCCACCTTTCGACGTGTCGGATCGGGTCGAATGAACACCGGGCGAATCGCGCGGTGTCGACGCGCGCGAGTTTGGGCAGATACGGTTCGGCGACGTGACTTCCGGTCGATCGCGGCCGACGACGTCGACCTCTTCGTCTTCCTTAACCGCGTCAGGCTGACTGAGCATGCGCGTGAGCAGCGTCTCCTGCTGCTGCTGCTGCTGCTGCTGGTGGTGTTGCTGCTGCTGCTGTTGCGCCGCCACCTGCATCTGGCTGGCGTACAGCTTCGACATGCTCAGTGGCGCCGCCCACGGGAAGATGGGGAACTGCGGCGCGGCTGGGTGCGGCGGCAGGCGCGTCAGTTCGTAGGCAGGCAGCGAGTCGCGCTGCCGCTTTGCACTCACGTCATACGAGTCCTGCGTGCGCGACAGTCGCTTCGGCGGCGGCGCGTCGGCGTGCGCATGCGCGTACCGGCTCTCCGCACCGCGCCCGACGTTCTGTAGACCCTTCATGCGCAGCCGCAGCTCCTCGGCGAGCTGCTCCGACTCAGTGTAGGTGGCGCTGCTGCGTCCGTCGGCGTCTGCGCGGCCACGCTCTCCCGCGGTGGTGCTAGGCGGGAGAGAGGCGCCCCGGGAGGCGTGATTCAGGATTCTCTGCCTGTCCGCCGTCAGGCCGGGCTCGTCCACCGTACTGTAACGAGAAATGTAGAAGAACGCGCCGTTAGTTTCTGTCACAGCGTAAAGTAGCGTGTGTAGACGACAGCAAGTAGCGACCAGGTGTTGTATATATATATATATAATATATACACGCACACACACACATGCGCACGCACGCACGCACGCACGCGCGCACAGCTGCACACACACACACACACACGCACACACACACGCACACACACACGCACACGCACACACACACACACGCGCACGCACACGACACGCGACACGCGACACGCACACGCACACGCACACGCACACGCGCACGCACACGACACGCACACGCACACGCACACGCACACGCACACGCACACACACACACACACACACACACACACACACACACACACACATACACACATACAATTTAGTGTATTATGGTTTTCGTGTTGATATCTTGTTATACGTTTTTGGGGACGATTTAGTGTAACAACGCTTTCCGTTAACGGAGGCATAGTCGCACAATTCCTTGACACCGCTCATGCAGCTGGGCTATTTATTTACTCATTTTCTATCTAATTATATAATGCAGGTATTCATTCACAAGTTGGGCCACATTACCAATACCCCCATTGCCACAGAATAACAATTCTCGCGCTAAAAAGTAAGAAGATGACGAAATGTTTCCCAACAATTGACGAGGCAACAACGACAGTCGCCTCTACGTTTGCTCCATATTTCACTGCAAGCCGATGAGATAGAACTTCTAATGAGTGGCGTCGGTAAGTGGTGTTCGATATACGCCTGCGTGACGGATTGCAATGTGGAAATCGAATACAGTCAGCGCGTTTTGCAATAGTTTACTAGGTCACAAGTACACTCTCTGCCCAGCGCATCTATTACGTACAGCCGAGGGGAACCGACTACCGATATGTAGGTTGAACAGTTTCTCGCCGCAGCGATGCGTGCGCGTCTGCCGACGAACGAGTATACGCGCCTATCGGCACCATCGTCATCATCCCTAGCATCTCCAGGTAGATTTATATACCTGATGAGTAATGTAGGCAATCATGCGGACGTGATCACCAGATCGTTCCTATCGTATTCGAAGCGATCGAAACTAGTTCATCTCAACCCTCGCGTTTACGCGTGCATTCCTTCCATGTCGACTTGATTTGTCGCGCTCTTCGCTCGACATCATCCTACTTCCAAAAGCCAAGATAACTCTCACAACGGAAACAAGTAAAGTTAGTTTACAACGGCGCGTTTGCAGTTGCGTTGATTTGATATAGCAAACGGACTTGTCGTACTCATGTACGTTGCGACATCACCACGATTCTTAAATCAACCAAAAAGGCTCGCACTTGAAGCAATTTTACCACAATGTAAGCTAAGTCATTTGCCGACGCTTGCGCTGTTTAAATATACCAGAATTCTCAAATCTGTAATAATTTCCACGGTTGAAGCGATGTTGTCCAGGC